TAATGTGTTCTAACGCACATAGTGATTCTTCTTCTGTATTATTTGGTAGCTCTGTCACCCGTTCTTCTCCGAACAGGTCCACTGCATCTTGTAGGCATACCTTAAATATCTCTGCCTCTATATTAGCATCAATTTTTTTATCACTGTAGCTACGGTCAGTGAGCCTTTGGCTGAGGTTCTCAATCTCCACAGTGAGCACAATAACGTGATCTATATCGTCCTCATCGATCCCTTCCACTGAGTGGAAATCCAGAAGGTATCCACCCGAATTTAATTCTTTTTTGGCCAATGCTTTTTTCAGAAGCTTCTCATCGTATATCGAACAATCTAGCTCGTCATCCCATTCTGAGTGCAGCTTTTCAGCTTTAATGAGATCGGCTATATTTAGGTACTTGAGTCCGACGTCATCCACGACGCGTTTACACAATGTCGTTTTACCCACACCCGGAGTACCCGTTACCAATATATTTACTCCGTTCTTCCTCATTGCGATGTGTAGTGTTTCTTGCTCTTAATACGCCTGAGAACTGCCCACTTTACGACACCCTACAGGGATGCCGCTCCCGTGATTCTTTGATCATATCACGAAATGTAAGCTTAACATGCTAGGTATTAATGCGCAACGCGCTAAGTACCTCCAAAATGCCCTTGAAGTATACAGCAAGATTAACACCGGCAACCTTCCTCTGGACACATTCCTACGGTACTACTTCCGTGTAAACCGTGTTGCTGCTGGGAGCCGTGCATGGATCGCCGAACATGTGTACGAGGTACAGCGGTGGAAGGGTCTTATCGCACATCTGAGCCCCAAACCTACTACATGGACGGGTATTCTCAATACTTACCTGTTACATCCCAGATGGAGATATATGACCGGGCACAAGGGTCTACCCGCTTACTTACGATGTTCTTTTCCAGAACCCCTCTTTGAGCGTATAGAACGTCAGTATGGCGTGGACAAAGCCTTGGAGATATGCCAGATTTTGAATGAGGAGCCTGTTACATTTTTGAGGGTTAACACCCTACGTACATCTCGGGACAAAGCTTATAAATTCCTGCTACACAAGGGTGTCCCTGTCGAAAAATGTTCCGATTCGCCCTGTGGTTTGCTATTGACTAATAAAAAGTTACTACTGGAATCTCCAGAATATCACAAGGGTCTTGTTGAAATACAAGACCTGTCAAGTCAGATATGTGGTCTAAAGGTTGAAGCTAAGCCTGGGGAGCACGTGATGGACTACTGTGCAGGTTCTGGTGGTAAATCGTTAGTATTTGGGCCCAAAATGGAGAATAAAGGCCGTATATATCTTCATGATGTTAACGATAATTTGTTGCTAACGGTATGCTTCATGAATGGCGGACATAGTTTTTGCAGGCCAAAAGGCGTCTTAAAAGAGCTGGTATTCGTAACTATTTTATTATGGACCCCAATTTGATAAATATGCGCCAATACTATGGCAAAATGGATTGGGTAAGCTATGTGGTATCTATACTTCATATTTCTATCAGGTGGTTGCAGACGTCCCCTGCAGTGGCACCGGTGCCTACCGTAGGAATCCAGATCGCAAATGGACCTTTTCTGTTGACCAGGTGTGTCACTTCTTATTGGTTAATAACGATCATAGATCCCTGAGTACACAGCAACTCAGCGTTCCATAGTAGACAGTGCCCTGCTGTATCTTAAACCAAATGGACGTCTTGTATATATTACTTGTAGTATTTTTGAGGAAGAGAATGAGCTACAGGTATGTCAACCAAAGGTATATCTTGTATTGATAAACTTGTTAGGTGAATTACTTGTGCAAGAAGCACGGTCTTGTGCACGCCCTTCCTCCCACGTTTCAGCTCCCTGAATCACGTGGTATGAATGGCTATTTTATTGCCATTCTTCAACGCGAACATGTGCATTGACCTACCTAATATTTGTCTAATTAACTATGAGCAAACTATTTCGACTGGATGAACCTGTGTCGACTCATACGGGTGTGTATCACAACTCGCTATACCAGTTACACCTCGACCGCCGGTATGTTACAGAACATGGATTCACATACTTCTCAGCACATTACCTACAATTGCAAAAGCGGGATGGTACGCGGTGTTAGTCTCATCGTTTATTCTTGATGCTCTATCCATCGTCATCACGCTTCTGCCCTTCCTAGACAAAGGGGTGGTAGGAAGGTCGATATACGCATGCAATTATCACAGGTCGTTGCCCTTAGAAGACTAGGTGAAAGTGTCGATCCTCGATGGGCACATTACTTTTGTGCCCAGCTGCTATTCATATCTGCATTGTACACAGTACTCCCACTTGCGTTGCTAAGCAGGAGATTGGTTGTATGTTTGCGTGTCGTATTATTAATGGTTATTGTAGGTATGGCAATCTTTGCAGAGTTGGAATTTGGTTGGAATCGTGCTCCAACTGGCTTCAGTGTTTTATGCTAGGTAGGCACACTTTAGCGAGATTCACACGTTACAGGAGCTTCAATGTATTTGGGCTGGCAGCAAGAACAGCTCTAGGTATTTCTATATTTATATACGGACAAATTTGTTCAGCATTGTGCTTCAGAGCTACAATATCTGACCTCACTTTCCCCAACCACCCCGAGCCCGAGGCCCTCAACGCACCTGGTGGTTGTAAAATTTCGTCGGAGTCGGAACAAAATTAGCATTCCGCCCATTTTAATTTTTGTAAAAAAGCTCGTTACAGCTATGAGCGACCTCAAGTTTTGCCCCGAGTGGTAGGTCGATGCAATTTTTGAATGAATTCTGCTGCAGCAACAACATCCTGTACACTAAACCTGACGCCACCAACCTACAACTTATATTCGTATGTAGGCAGTGCGACTATACGCGCTTAGCTGACCCTACGAGTTTATCTGACAACTGTGTTAATCGCACTACATACAATTACCAAACTAAGTATGTTTAGCTATATTGTGCACTATTCCGTACAGGGAAGACCTCATAGTATCGCCCCTGGTAATCAAAGACCCTACTCTTGGGCGTACGACAAATTGGACGTGCGTGAGATGTGGTTGGAACCAAGCTGCGTTCTTCCAATTACCGGAACGTGTACATGATGATGCTATGATGCTTGTCTTCGTATGTTGTAATCCTGGTTGCGGCTATTGGGAGAAACAGAGTCATGAAGATGACGGTACGGCTATGAGTGGTATAACCACCCGGGCACCATCTAACATAGCCTTCATGCCACGAATCGAAGAAGACATATTCGATGATATGGCAGAACTTTTTGGTGAAGACGAGTTATGATCACTAAAAAGGGCGCACTATTACTCAACTACTATCGTACACCATGTAATATCATAAAACTATATAGGATATACATATCCGTGGGACGTAATCGAATAGGCTGTCGGTAGTGGTATTATACTATCGTCTTTGTTTGATTTTATGTGTGCTATGAATTTCAAAATACATTAAGATTTAAATGCCAAGTGACACGTGTTATTGATTTGTTATCTATTGTTCCTATTCACATGAACAGTTTAGTTAAGGTTTTGACATCAGGTTGCATATTTGCGCAGGAGATCCTCGTACGTCGCATCAAACCTTGGATATGATAGATCTGCATTGACTTGGTTATGCAGATTAAATGTCCACATAAGAAATTCCTTCCTGCTTTCAGTCACCGGTGGCATACGGCGATATATATCGACCAATCCTTCCTTACATATGTGACATGGATATAGTTCTGCGAAGGAATAGCAAAACGCCTTTACACGTAGGCTATCTAATGTGCTCTAAGAATTTTATGTATCGATTAGGTCATCGTACCTACCGGTTCATCGGGGAAGTCTGCTGCCATGGAGTGTAGGTACATCCAACCAGCTCTCCCCAACTCCCTGCGGTTAGGGGGGAGTGGCGTACCTCCACGGTTGACATTTAACGGTTGTTCGTTATCGTCTCTGCAAGCTGCATCTTTGCAACGCTTATAAGCGTCTTCTACATTGTTGACCATTGTTATCCGGGGCACCCGCAATCGAGTACACCGCTACTCTCGACGACCCTGCATAATATGTGTTACCATCATATCGCAACATACCTGCGATGCTTCCTCAAGAACTCTGGTATAGTAGTATGGTCAGGCTTGTGTGTCATGAGACGTTGTACCTATTAAGGATGGAGCTATGGAATATGTATCCTAACCTCCTGTGTAAGGACCTTTGCGTTATTCTTAATATTATCTAAACGGTGTATAGAATGAAGTTCGCGTTTCATACGGTATAGTTCTTCCTGTAATTGTGTGATTTGGATATATTTGTCATCATACTTCAAAAAAATCTCGAGTTCCATCATCACTATAGGTTGCAACTTCTTCAGCGTTTTTGACAACATCAGTAGGATTCTGTATCTTAGTTGAGATTGTATATATAAACGACAATACCTCATTCGCATCTACAGTGACGTTCGCCTGTGGAGGGAAGCTGACCGGTTGCGTGGCATACAATGCGTTCCTACGGTGATTTTTTTATAAGATATTTCCATTGCTACCTTATCGATTCCGATACTACGGGTTCAGTGGCTTTCAATTGGGTGAACCGATCTGTTTTGTAATTTTTTTTTGGTTTCGCGATGCTGTTGCCTTCCAGATGAATAGTTTTTACCGGATCACTTTTTATATTTTGTAGGTCCAAAGGCTTGTATTTGTCAATCTCTTGCTTTGATCGTTCCGCGGCTTGTTGGAAAGCCTACGACATCGATGATCGAAAACGACGACGTTCACACACCTGGAGTGCTTCCGTTGACTTCGATACAAGTTGTGATAGATTAGCCAGTAGGTTGTCTTGTTCACTGGCCGTCAAAGGTGCTTCTGAACTGTGCAAAACATGAACGGTTTCGAATGGGTTATGTATGAGTCAGAGGGAAATACGACAACATACCGTGTGCCAGAAGGATAAACAAGTGTCAGGCAGATAGCGACCGTATTTAATAGGATTCTACTCCATCCCATAGTTCCATTGAACAACACCTAAATGACGTTTGTATGTAGAAGTGTGCTACCAAATATTGTGACTGTCAGTGTAGTCACGAATGAGGGCGTTGATTCATTAGGGACATTACTATATATGTGTAATGTGTAAATGACATTAATTTAATAATTATTTGTATATTATTTGTATACTCGAGGGTTACATGTATGATGTTTTCGCTGCTGCGAATCCGCGTGCCAGTGTGTGGCATATCTGGAGTCTCCGTTTGGTCGCATGAACCTTAATTAGGTTGTGATATTCGATATTTGTATTTCTAAAATTAAAATATTACATAAATTTAATGTAACTTTGGTTTAGGTTGTAATGCGAATTTTTTTTGTACAAGCGTAAGCTAGCGTATGTCGTTTTTTGCTGTACTTTAAATGACACTTGTGCTAACCATGGTTATGCGTCAGTTATATAAAAAGTAGCTCTTTCGAGCCTGTAGTATTGAAAAAAATGGAGTTCAAGCGATACAAAGAAATTCGTTCGTTGAAATATTGTTTCAAGAAATGTAAGTTAACGACATATTTTTTTAATACGATGCAGTATCGTCCAAGAAGTTATTTTCTACCACCTACGTATTACCGATAAGCTCTATTTTTGGGTCATCGAACTGCGTGTTGGAGATTAATATACCTCGTTCCTACCCTAAGAATTATGTGGACTTGAAGCTTGTTAATCCCATACCACATCCGTGGGCTGGTGAAGACGGTGTTATAAAATGCCCGAGCTGGCTGTTGCAGCTACCGTTGGTAGAAATTGTCGAAACGGTGCTTTATCAGTTTCAAGATTTCGAATTAAGGAATGATTCTGGATTGTCGAGTCACCGTAATGCGGATTCACCTGGTCATAACGGTAGTGCAACTCCCACTGAGTGGTCTCCCAATAGTGGTTCCAGTCTGGCTGCTAATGTGGATTCCGATGTGTTAGCTTCTGATGAGCGGAACACTCGACCGACGTGTGCGGTCCCGAAGTATATCCAACTCATTGATGAGAAGGTGATTAAGGTTTGCAATAGTTGGCCAACTAGCCCATTGGTTCCACTAAAGTCTGCAAATAAAGAAGAGGTTATGAACATGTTAGCAAATGAAGACCTTCGTTGGAGTTTGTTGCATCGCTTACCTGAAGTATCTCCGTTGATCACAGATCTTCGAAGGACCGTCTTAGACAATGAGTCCAAGTCGCTTGCTATTATCGCCACTCTTAACAAGCAGCAGGAACTACTGAAGTTTATTGATAATAAGCGTAGGGGTATGCGTCCCGCTGATGCCAACGCAGAGGCGGTCGATAGGATTGTGAAAAAGCATCGTGAGTCATATCGATGTTATGCTAATACATTAATTCAAGAGTTACGCGAAGAGATTCACGAGAAAATTCGTGCTATACGTGAAGGTCAAGAGTGTTTTGAAGAGTGTTACGACGCCCTCGCTGATTTATATCATCAACGTAGCGAGCTAGAGGCCATTCAGATAGCACTTTTCGGTTGACTGGTATATATGTTAATTTCTGCTTCTGTCATATATCTTTTTCCTGGCAAGTCTCCTAAAGCTCTGTCGCGGCCGTATTCACTCCATCGTCCGGTGTAAGCATCTCCAAAGGTACGTCCGATTAGTGATCCACCATAAACGGCAAACGGCATCACCAGAACCTTCGTCTTTATCGAATGGTACCTTAATGAGTATATTGTGAGCAGTCCGATACCGACCGTTCCGAAGAAATTGAACGTGCGGGCGCAAACCTAGGTACACATTCCTCTTAAATATTATATGAACTAACCTGTTTGCGTGCTGATTCCTGTCGTGCGAGCAATATTTGTGTAATTGTGTCGTCATTGTCGCCGTAGCTCTTTGTAAGTATAGATTCTAGTTCTTTACGTCCGTTTTTCGTGAATGTCAACCTCCATGGGTTTGGTGTGAGTAACAATCCTAATCGTTCCATAAACGACAGCGGTCGTGATCCGGTGGCATACAGATGTTCACATATTGTGACATCTGAGGGCACCAAGACCGGATGTGACCGGTTATTATCCATTTGTGTATTTATTACAGACGTATATCGTCTAAGGTCTTAGCAGGTCGCACTATAGCCTTACACAGTTCAACGCTACCCCCATGGTCTCCCTGGGCGTCTTCATCGTCATATTATATATAGACACTAAAAACAATGAGTTGCGAGTTGTTGCAATATTGGCGTTGTATCGGTAGGTTGTCGATCGTTAGAAGGGATCATTATTCACAGCCACTTTCGTGGCTTTGGATTGCACCGCTTTGGTGCTCATAGGAGCCATGATATACGCATTATTTGACCGTACTAAGTTACACATCGCTGGTGCGGTCCTCGTAGTAACGTTCGTAGTGGGATTATGTAAGTTTAAAAACCTGGAAGAAGTTATTGGTTGCAGGTCTGCGGAAGTTTAACCAAAGGAAATACGACCGTTTGGCCTTCTTCCGTATAAAGTTTTACAGCAATTTCAGCTTGTATGCAGGGATATATAGGCGTCACAGTGTGTTTTCTTACATTACTGCGCTGTTGTTCCCTATATTTGTCGCGAGTGTGACGTACGGCAAATACTCACCCTTGGCGGAATCACTGCTGATAGGATCAGTTCTTTGCTGTATAACAAGTATATTTGCTTTCGATTCTAAAGCATTGCTTTGTTGTGCTGCTATTGGCTTTTACTTGGCAGAACGGCTTTTTGGCGAGGTTCTAGGAAAACAGGTGATCATTTTTGCACTGCTACAGGGGTTATACCATGATATATTACGTGAAGATTTGACCCGGTAAGTATATTTTGTTTTAATCATGGTTTCCATAACGTGAGTGTGTATCGTTGTTCACCTCTACTTATCTCATAGATTCTCTATATCCGCGGTATTTTTGGTATTATAAATTTGTGTTTGAAAGGATAAACGTTATTTTTGATTGTCTATTCCCGGTTTTTACATTACTGATGCGCTGCAGGGCACTTGATATTGGTGATGCCGTAACTGTGTCCCAGTTGGCAGTAACCGTTGCGCACGTTGTCATTAAAAGATACTCATTCACTTACAACACCGCCCTGCGTCCAATAGTGGAGCTTTGCGTCTGTTTGGTATGTCTCCATTCTTTAGTTTTTGACATGTGTTATAGGGCTTCGTTTGCGTGTTATTTATCGCCATAATGCTGGGTGAGGAAATTTCTCATTGGTATGCTCCAGGTTGCATTAAAAGAAAATTAACCGACGCTGTGCGTCTACTCCTCATGGGAGATGCCCTATACCGATATGGATACTGGGCAACTCACGAAGTGAAGTACCAGGTGGGAGTGACTCCGCTCGGCGCTCTAATGAACGTAATAACGGCGAAGAATGCGCTGATTACTATCGCTACATGGGTGATCCATTCCACTATGGGTCTATTGATATTGTACTACCGATCACCCGCTTTTAACAAGGACGGGAAGGACTACCACCCCAAGGACCCTGTAATTACGATTCTGAGGAAAGGTATACACGTGGTACTGTTTGCCAATGCGTTAACTGCCATCTATCTTGGCCAGGTATGTTACTGCGTAAGACTATTAACAATTTGCAGCATCTACTACTGGCTGTGTCTCTGTACCTCACATTCATCGCTACAATGACAGTTGAGATGTTGCGTTACTATGGGTACATCCCCCGACGTTTGAGCATGTCGATCAACAATGTATACAAGGCTTTTGGCGAGTCATCTAAGCTTAGGATACTTGTGCTTCCCCATGCATGGGTAGTTCTCGGCGTTGGCTTGCCTTTGTGGACCGAGATGACACAGAACCCGCATATTGACGTTACGAAGGCCTATATAGGGTTGATCGTGGTTGCTCTTTCTGACGCTACGGCTGCTTTTATTGGCAGTCAAAAACCAAAGCTTCCGTGCCACGACAAATCTCTAGCTGGTAGCGCTGCATTTTTCGCCTCTACGTTCTCAGGTCTCATATTTAGTATGACCATTCAGGTTGGTGAGGATATCGGATGGGCGCGCGTTATAGCTGCCATCGCTGTTGCTCTCTCTACTACCTTGATTGAGGCTGGTTGTCCCGGAATTGACAATGTAAGCATCGCATTGATTGCTTATTCCGTTTACACCGTTGCTGAGAGGGTGCTGAAGTTTTGATAACAGCGGCGCACACAGTCGTGTTTGACCGGTGGGGGCTCACGCGGTTCCCCTCATTAAACGCTCAATAATCATAGATACATCAAAGATCGAACTAGCCGTAATAGATAGCTATTCGGCGTTATTAACGGTGGTATTAATAACAGCGGTTGCATCGCCGGGTTACACCGGTATCAGTCGTGTGTAAAGATGGACTTCACGGAACTGGAGTCTGCCACCGGTTTACGGTTTAGCTGGAATGTATGGCCATGTTCTAGTGAGGAGGCTGCTAAGGCTGAGGTGCCTATTGGTTGTCTTTTCACGCCTCTGAAGCCTGAGAACCCCGAGAGTCAGACTAAAATACCTCTTGTGGAATATGCACCAGTTCGATGTCGTAGCAGTGGTGTCTTCTTGAACCCATATTGCCATATTGATTTTCGAGCTAAAACATGGACATGTCCAATCACGTTGCAGCGGAACCCGCTGCCACCGTCATATGCGGAGCATATATCGCCGGATAACCTACCTTCAGAATTGGTGAACCTTACCATGGAGTATATCATTCCTACATCTGTTTCTGGCGGCATTTTCCCACCTACGTTCATTTTCCTGGTCGATACTTGTGTAAGTGAGGAGGAGCTGGAGCAGTTGAAGGATTCACTTCAACAGGTATGCTTTATAACTCTTGTTTACCCAAATGTCGCAGATTCTTAGTATGCTCCCTCAGGATGTTCAAGTTGGTCTCATAAGTTTTGGATCTGTAGTTAAACTTCATGATTTGAGGGAATCTGATATCCCCAGGTGTTACGTTCTTAGGGGTACCCATCATCATGATGCTGAATATCTGAAAAGGGTGATAAACTTGGAGCAACAGCAGCAGAGGTTTGTACAACCCCTATCTCAATGCGAGTTTACGCTAAACACTTTTATTGAGCAACTAACTCCTGACGTATGGCCTGTTGCGCAAAACTGTCGTCCTAACCGTTGCACAGGTTCAGCTCTTAGTGCCGCAGTTGCACTTATGGAGGTCTTATGTCCCAACAGGGGTGCTCGTGCTATGTTATTCACCGGTGGAGCTTGCACTTTCGGTCCCGGAAAGGTGGTAGACAGTTCACTTGCTGAATCCATCAGGCATCATTTGGACCTTCAAAAGGAACATCACAACGCTCGTTTTGTAAAGGATGCTCTATCATTTTACTCTACGATTGCCAACCGTTGTGCTAGTAACTGCCATGCTATTGATATTTTTGCTTGTGCGCTTGACCAATCTGGTCTTTATGAGATGAAGGTCTGCTGTGACAAGACTGGTGGTTACATGGTTATGAGCGATTCATTTTCTATGAACGTGTTCAAAGATTCACTGAAGAATGTATTTAGCCTTGATTCCAATGGCCATTTGAAGCATGGTTATTGTGCGAAGGTTGAGGTCTTTTGCACTAAAGAGCTGCGTGTGAGCGGTGTAATGGGTGGTTGCAGCAGTAACAACAAGAAGGGTCCTAATGTTTCGGACAACGTTATCGGTGAGGGTCGCACTACTGAGTGGAAGGTAGGTGCATTGGACCCTAAATCTACGCTTGCATTTTATTTCGATGTTGTTGACGGTTCAAGTTCCGCGGCATCTGTGATAACAAATGCTATAACGTCGCTTGGTGGTAATTCTGCCAGCCGTAATAAGAACAAGCCGCCTGAGAATGCTGGGAAGACCGCTTTTGTACAATTCCAGACGGTTTACATCCACTCAAGTGGTCAGAAGCGTCTGAGGGTGACATCATTCAGCTGCAAGTATGCGCAACCTAACATTGCTGACCTTGCTCGTGGTTTTGATCAAGAGGCAGCTGCGGTACTTATGGCTCGTTATGCATTTTACAAGGGCGAGACTGAGGATCCGTTATCGGTACTGCGTTGGTTAGACAAGAGTCTGATTAACCTGATATCTAAATTTGCGGATTATCAGAAGAACGACGCTCATTCATTTAGATTGGCGAGCGAGTTTTCGATTTACCCTCAGTTTATGTACCATTTGCGTAGGTCTCACTTTTTGCAGACGTTCAATGCGAGCCCTGATGAGACTGCTTTTTACCGTACGGTGTTCATGCGTGAGAATGTCATCAACAGTCTTATTATGATTCAGCCTGCCTTACTGGAGTATTCATTTGAGAACCCTACCCCTCATCCCGTTTTGCTTGACGCATGTTCATTGAAGCAGAATGTCATATTGATGTTGGACTCTTTTTTCCATGTCATCATTTGGTATGGTGAGATGATCCATCAGTGGCGTGAGCAGGGTTTCCAGGATAAGCCTGACTATGCTCATTTCAAGGAGCTTTTACAGGCTCCTGCGAGTGACGCGAATCACATTTTAAGTGAGCGTTTCCCTACTCCTAAGTTTATTCTGTGCAACCAAGGCGGTAGTCAAGCTCGGTTCCTGCTTGCTAAAGTGAACCCTTCTCAGACGCACAAGTCTGGTTTCAGTGACTATTCAGAGGATGCTCAGGTGGTGAACACTGACGACGTTTCTCTGAAGACGTTTATGGAGCACTTAGTTATGCTGGTAGTTCAGTCGTAGGCCAGATGAGGCCCCCACTGCTTTAGCTTGATATGGACAGATATTAAACACTTTGATTATACGTACCTAAAAATGGCTGGTTGCACTACGGCTGGCCCAGACTTGCGTCGTTACATGGAGAAGCGTTTAGATGGTAGGTTTGTTTCATTGTATATTATGAGCGTTCTTCCTTTTGTCGGCTTGGTTAGGTTGAAGTAGCGCTATGTTTTATTGTTAAAAAAAATGTGTTTATCCATATTTTATGTATTAATGACGTCACAGTGCATCTTAACGGATCTAGGCACGTGGTTGGAGTGTTACGTGGCTACGACACTTTTATGAACATCGTTTTGGACAACGCGTTACAAATAGAAGGTGAGGAGCAGATAAAATTAGGAATGGTGGTTATCCGTGGGAACTCTATAGTATTCTGGGAATGTCTGGACAAGGTCCACACGCGATAGGTATCATGTACTACAGTCGTATCGCAACGATCGGGTTTGTGTTCTCCCGTAATAATTGACTTATGGTTAATTTCTGTATGATTTGTATGCTGTGTAGAATGATCGTTTTCGACGTTTCAGGGTGCTGTCAATGCGTGACACATCGAATTTGCGTACCATAGCGTTACGGCATAATGGTCATTCTGCGCATCGTTTAATAACGATAGAATATGATTTTTAATGTGATAAAATAGCAATATATCAGCAGACAATAAAATGGTATCTTTCTGGAGGGAAATTGAGTGGGCGTGTTCGTGCCGGTGGGATGGGAAGGTCGCCTGATGATGCCGTTCACACAGTATTAGTATCTACTAGACGGTCACTTTGCATTGCACATGTTGTGTTTGTACGAACTTGAACGTTAGACACCCTCAGTATAGGGGAACATTACAATGACACGCGAGCACGACGCTATCGAGAAAGCTTTTCTAGGTACGTTGTGCTAATCGTTGTTTCATTGTTTTTAGAGTACAAATGGGAATCATCTGAGTCTTGGCAACAATACTACAGTAATCTTTACCCAATACCACCTTTGAGCAAGCTTTCTAAATACAAGCGCGCGTGGTACCGACGTACGGTGGTAAGTGTATGCGAGTAAAGTCAGTTCCCATTATGATGAAGAATCCTAATTTACCGGAAGACTCTGCGGTAGGGGAGGTTGATCCAACTACTTACAGCGGGCAAAGTGCAACTAGAGTTGGTGGGTGATTCATTGTCTATTACTTCATAAAAATATAGAAGCTCCACCGAAACCGCCGCATCATAACACACATATGCCGTCAATGATGGTTATGAAAATTTTAGTGTCGATTGAACTTGCCGCCAGGATATTTTTCCTGGCGGCCACGATCATGATGCTCGTGTTCCGTTTGACAAGGTTGCTTCCTCCGCGATTGTTTGCTGTGAGTTTTGTATTACCAATTGTTGTTAATATATGTGTAGCCTGTAACAGCTCTTTCCATGGCATGCTGTTACCTTTTCCTTTTGATCGCACTGTTTAAGGACAAGGGCAGGCCAGCTTTATCATTGGATTACGGTCGTTCTATTATGATGGATGAGAATTTACATTACCTTACGTATTCCGTGGCTGTGATGAATGTTCCGAAGGCCTTTGTGTTATTCGCTCCTCAAGTGTTAACCTGTGTGATAGGTATGAGCCGTCTCTACCTATACTACCAGAGATACATCCCTGGAATACTCAGGTAAGTGTACTGTCCTGTGTACTTTGCGATAATGAATGCAACTTGTGTTATTGATGTTATTGCAGGTTGGATTTCATAAATCACGCTTTACGATTGGTTGATGCCCACAGTGTGGACATTTTCAGTGTTCGTGCGGCCCTAGAAGTAGCAGCTTTGATCCACATGATGCTTGGAATGTTTATGGGTCTTTCTAATTTCATTGGTTTGATCCTTTACGTCAATTTCATTAGGGTGAAGTAAGTTTGTTGCTCCAGGTGATATAATCCGTACAGGGTCGCTGTTAATGACGTGTATCTTACTGGAATCTTCAAGCAATTCCACGGTAAGTGTAGGGTTACATCGGTTCATCATTTGCAGAAACCATCACTAGGTTCCTGACACACCCGATTGTTCCTCCTGCAATACAGAACGGTTATGGCGCTGTGACTCGAACTATCATGAAGTATTTCAAGCCTGCTGGTAGATACTAGAGCAACGTTGGCTAATGGTAGTGAGGGCGCCACTAAAGTAAAGCTACAATTTAGGCCATATTTAATGCGATACTTCGTATATTGAAATGTAAACAGTTGTGTTCATGTGTTTGAGTTTTGCAACTGTTCAATTGCCAGTAGTAGTTGCTGGTTCCTGTTGGCAGGTTATTGTTTATATTGCATGAGCTTACTTTGATTTGTATTCATCATATTCTTGTATAAGTGTACGTATTTTTGAAGCCCATTCTATATTGTTAACTTTGCGATCTTTATTTAGTTGTTCTATTTCAGCTTCTAGTTTTGCCTTTTCCTTTGAGAGTCTAAATCGGTTGAATTTGTGTTTAATATATAACACACCTTGTTTTGAGCGAAGATATATCATCTAGATGACTTAACCATGCATTTTCTTTATATCGATCGAGTGCCTCTAGATTAAGTTGCGCGTCATGGGCGTACTCTGTTAAGATTCTTAGATGATCTCTACGTTGGTTGTGATCCTTGACATGTGTATATGTCGTATATTTATCTAAATCCAGAGCTTGTAAAGGCATGCCTATTGGATATATGTTCAACTGATATGTTTGTATCTTACCCTGCGCCTTCCGCTCTACTTCAGCATGATACACATGTGTTGAATCGGTGTGATCCGGTGTCGTAGCAATTGGTTTAATATAACTGTTTAATAGTGCATCTTCATCGCCGTTAAATTCTTCGAGAATTTTTCTCTTTTCCTCAGCTACTAGATCGTGGATGCGTGATTCAAGTTCTATAGGTACGGCGTCTACGAAAGTGAGGCTATCAACCAAATAGTGGTAACGATTCCTTTGATAAAGTGGAATATCTGTATCCGTCGTGGAGGCCTGTGAGTTATCCATCTTGAATTGTGATAGTGAGTCGTGCCCGCTTGTAGGTGTGATAGGTATTGTGAGGGAGCACACCCATTGAACATTGTTTGCGTGAAATAACGCAAATGTTACACATTATCGCCCTTATACTTGAGACATGGGAAACTGTTGTACAACTGGTGGTAAATTAACCGGAGGATTCGGTCAAGGTACCGAAAATTCCGGTCGTATAAATTTGAAAGACAGAAATCGTACAAGTTTTTACGATCGTATGTTGAATTGTGAGTATATTCGACCTAAGATATGCGATGTATTCAATGAAAGGCTGGGTCAACCTGTATGGGTACATAACGGGAATGCTAGCATCGCTCTGGAAGACCAAAGTTCATCCCCAGACAATGATTCCGGTTATTCTAGTGATTGGGAGAATGATACTAGGAGTTTTGTAGTACACTGCCGGTCAGCTCGCAGTAGCGATCCGAGTGACAGTAGTACTCCCACTAGGCTCTCATTTCATCCTAAAATGTTTGATCTTATGTTATCTAAGGACATTTGGTTATCACGTGTTATCACTGAGTACAAGATGAACACTCGTTATAACATAATTGCTGATGCCATTGGCTTTGGTGTCGGAGGGTCTGTACGTCAAGCGGTTGACAAGAAATCACACCGTACCTTTGCTCTCAAGAGTTTAAAAACCGATTGTACAACAAGGAAAAGGGTAATGAGTTCATTTAATGAAGTTATTATCTATACACAATTGGACCATCCTAATATCGCGTTCCTTCACGAGGTTTATGAGGAGCCTGGATTCTGTCACATTCTTATGGAATATTGTACTGGAGGTGAATTATATGATCGCCTTGATAGATATAAACGTTTTGCTGAGGGTTACGCTAAAAGGGTCACTGTACAAATGTTACTTGCGATTAACTATCTCCACTCTAATGGTATCTGTCACCGTGATTTGAAACTTGAGAATTGGGTCTTTTCTACTCCAGACATGGGTGCGACGCTCAAAATGATCGATTTTGGTTTTTCTAGGCTCTATGAAGACGGTGTTCCCATGGCTGGTACTCATGGTACTGTATACTATGTTGACCCCGAGGTGATAGACGGTTGTTACAGTGAGAAGTGTGATATTTGGAGTACTGGTGTTATAGTATACATGTTACTTTCGGGTTCTCCTCCTTTTAACGGTGAGGAGGACAAGGAGATATTGTGGAAGATAAAGAAGGGCATCCTTAAATTTGAAGGCGTCCGGTGGTCAAAGATTTCACAAGATGCCAAGGACTTTATAACACTGTTACTCAATAGGGACAGTAATCATCGTGCGTCAGCTATAGAAGCGTTGAATCACCCATGGTTGGATGATGAGTTGCAAAATTTTGATTCCAGTTCTCTCACACCAGAGGTATTGAGACATATAGTGGAGTTCAGTAAGCGTCCTCCCATGTACCGTGCGCTAATGGCCTTGTGTGTTTTGGAAGCAGACAGGCATATCCATCAGGATGTTTATCGTCTATTTTTTGCCATAAATACATCGCTGAGTGGAACGATAACATTAAAGGAATTTAGCGATGTTTTGGCTGAGTACCTTAAGCTTGATGAAAGTGAAGCAGCGGCTGTGTTCGACGCCATAGCATTCCGCGGTACAGCTACAATGCATTACACTGAATTCGTGACTGCCGTATATGGTTACCACGCCGAGTTGGATATGAATCTGTTATGCCAGGTATACTGCAAGCTGGAAGCTTTAGGTAATGGTCGTTTAGATGAAAAGACACTGGTGGCGTACATTGGTGAAAGATTCAGTGGCATCCCCGTTAGCAAGTTATTTCGCCATCTTGACGTCGACAATAAGGGTTTTATTGAACTGTCTGAGTTGCGTGACTGCCTCGTGGGCGTACATTAGTATGTACCCGTGTGGCAGCAACGAGAACTTGAAAACTCTAGCTAGGTTATAATGCCAAGATGGAAGTGATACAAGACGATTCTACCCCGAAGCGCATAGTGGTCTCCAAAAATTGTTTGATCCATAACCCTAGGAGAAAGGGCAGCGCCCGAACCACAAAAAATGAATCGGCACAGACTGATTCTACAACTACAGATCAACCATTGAGTTCACAGGATCATCCTTCTGCGAATGCTGATAAAATTGATTTTTTAACCTCTCCTAAGCCTGTCGTTGAAGGCGAGTCATGTATCGATGGTCGTACCGAAATATCGTGCCATGGGACTATAGACGGTGTGAAGATATCCGGAGACAGCGTGACCAATACATGTGTGTCGTTCGATGAAGAGCCCGATTCGAACAAATGGTTGGCAGCATGGAGCCTGAAAAGTCTATTGTCGTCTAAGGCTCCAAGTGACCAGCCTGATGATATATTTTCAGCAGAGCATGGGAATGGTATCAAGGTGTTGGAATATAAGCTGGATCGTTCTGATCGTCAGATTGGTGTATTAAAATCGCAACTTAGTGAGCGTGATGAAACTATTGGGAGACTGTTAAAGCACGTGAATATGTTGGAGCAATGGAAATCTGAGCTTGATCGTGGTAAAACTCTATTAGTTGTTGAGCAGAATCACGAATTAGGCGCAGCTATTAATGTTATGGAGAAGTATAGGATCAAGGTGGATGAGTGCAAGACGCTTGAATCTAAGTTGATGGATATGGAGCACAAGCATAGTTTAAAGGATAATGAGATGAAAGAGATATTGTGTAAGTTGAATGAGCATCGAACTCGAGAAACGCAATTGATGTTGCAATTGGAATCTTTTACGGCAGATCGTTTGTCTTTTGCGAAATCTGTAGAGAAACTGAAGCGTTCTTTTGAGGTTCAGAAAGCTGATGCTAAGTTGACTCTAGAGAAGGAGTATGCGAACAAGATATCGTATTTACTGGGTCAGATAGATTTGCATAAGAAGCAGTTAGAGGAGAAGGACGGTGATGTGAAACAGCGTAGTCAGAAGATTAAGGATATGGAGAAAGAGGCATCTAAATTGATGTTTAGAATTGACCAATTGCAACGATTAGTGCGTCATAAGGATTATGAGCTTCGAGTTATGCGTGAAGCAATGTTGAACCTTGAGGAGGAGTCATTTAAAGAGGGTCAGAACGCGTCTGCGCGTATTTCTGCAGTTCTCGCATTATTGGAGAGTACCAAGAGTGATAATTCTGATTTGAAATCTAAGAATATCGGTTTACAGAAGGAGTTGGACAAGTGTTTAATGCGTCTTTCAACAGTCCACGCTCGGTCATTTGATGGAAAGGAGGTGAAAGATGCTGTGTAGTGACCATCTAAAATGATGGTTTTTGTGTGGCCATGTTTATTATAATGTCATTCATTATTCAAAAGGCATGGCACAGTTGGTTAGCGGCGGTGGTGTTATGCACCAACCCATATTCTGATCGTAATGACATCGCCGTAATTTTTTTTTCTATATTCTATTATAACTTGATATTATATATGTTGCGATATGTGGTCACCGTGCACCTGGCGGTTACTTGTGGCACGTCGTCGATTACCACGTGCTATATTGAGAATCTAACAGTTTCCAGTGCACTTTCCGGTGTTTCTTGCTGTGTTCCGTGGTTAAATGTTCTCTCTATAGCTTGCCATATTAACTCTGTTGTATGACTGTCACATTCATCCCTTTTAACGGTGACACAGTCCCATGTTTGCGTGGTTCTGTCATCAGATTCAGATAGCAAAGCGAGTTGTACATGTGTATCGGTTGCATTTATCACGGTGATATTGAGTGTCGACGTCAAGAATTCATACATAATCCTGAATATGTGCTTTAATATATTTGGAAATTTGCATACCTGTCCCGCTTGATCACATCAGCTTTGGCTGCCTTTTGCATTTCAGCTGCATCCTCTAGAAGCTGCAATTTATGTTTCATGCTCTGTACCTCGAGCAACAGCTCATCTTCAGTTCCCCTTAGTTGGCTAAGTTTGTTCTTCAGTTCTTGTTTCTCTTTGGTTGCCGCAATGGCGTCATCACCGCTGCCTGGGAAAGTATAGGCAACGGTAAATGACCCACTCACCTATTTTCTCGTTGTATGTTACTTTCAGTTTCCGTAGTTCTTCAGATAGCCTTTCATGTTCATCTTGCAGCATTTTAAGTTCCTCGTTTGCCCCTATGAGTACGATGTAACCTGACCAGTTGGCACAGTATACTATTGGCGTACTATTCAGAATAAATAAAAACAAGTTTACATTCGCATTTAGTATAAACTGAAATGTAACTCGTTTTGGTTTGTTTTGTGAATATTGATTTGTAGCAAAATTTTAAATGGATGGAAATATGGTTGATGTACTTTGTAACATCTGTAGAGTACAGAGAGAGTACTGCATTTTTCGTTGAAAACATGATCACATAGGGTATTCACAGAGTTTTATGAACATTTTCATGTAACTTTTTGTGTATAAACTTACTGTCTAACGAAGCATCGGCAGCGCTTCTCTCGGCAGTGTGTTTGAGGCATATTGCCTTATGCAGGTGTTCGAACTCCTGCAATAATGCTCTTTCATCGGAATCATCTTTTATAAATGCAGCAAGCGCATCTGCTGCCTCTTCTACTTGCGATATGAGTCGGGAATTTCCATCTTTGTTCTCGACATCGAATCGAAGGTGAGAGAGTTCGTTGATTAAGGTATCAACATCTGGCATTCTTTGCCAATGTAAATAACTTGATAAAAATGGTATAATAACTGTATATTATTTTCAGGTGTAGATAACCGCTGTTAGTATAGATCCATGCGCAACGCGACTCTATAGGGACCGTCGCGACTAACTTGAATGGTTGCTTGCATACATTTCATAATGCAGGCATCAAGATGGTTCGAAATGATGGGATAACAGATGTAATGTTGTATGCCTTCCCATATATACGACATCGGCATGATGGCTGAACCAACGGAGCTTGGACTTAGCGGCAACGCACCAGAAAACAAGAAATGTGCGCAACCGAGACCGAAAGCTACTCCACCTCCTCAGGAGGAGGAGTCACCATCGTTACTGTCGATGTTCAATATCTTCGGATTCGGAGCAAAGAGCGTTATGGGCCATACAGCAACATATGGGATGATGCCTTCTATGCCTCAATGCGAATGTGTCCGTATAGCCTTGAAACCACCAAAAGCTAGTGATCAGTCAACTAATCCCACGGTACAAAAGAATATACCAAAGTATATCAGACCGGAACGTTGTGCTCGATTTAATTACTGGTGGTTGAAATGTTGTCAATCTGCGGTGCTTCGTAAAGCTGGGGTATACTGGAACGTCGTCGAGTTGTTAGATGAGAAGGTGATTGTCGATGGTGTTAAGATGCCAGTGGCGGACCTAGTTTTAGGCCAGAAGACTACAACAGCCATTTTACTCGATATAAGAAGAACATACCCGTCGCTTAAGTTTTACACCCGTTATGGACGTCTGATGCTACGTCGGATACTCTTGGCTTATGCATTTTTCGATCCTGAAGTTGGGTATGTACAAGGGTTAAATTTCATTGTGGCTAATCTTCTCTGGCATTGCACTGAGGAACAAGCCTTTTGGGCTTTCATATCCATTATGTACATGTACGATTGCAGATGCATGTTTCTACAAGGTTTACCTGGAGTGTTCCGGCGTTGTGATGTAATAGAAAAGTGTATGGAAGACCATGTTCCAAAACTCACGGAACACCTGAGAAACGTCGGGGTCCACATACCAATGATCGCATCTGACTGGTTAATGACGCTGTGCGCCAACTCCATCCCTATTAAACCATTGGTAAGTAAGAAGCGTTATAAATTGTCAGATTGATATTAGGCACGATTATGGGACTCTTTTTTTGCCGAGGGCTGGATTGTTATATTCAGGTTCATTCTGTTCCGACTGAAGCAATTTGAACCATATTTGCTGACAATGCATGACGTTGCGGATATAATGAAGGTCATAAAATATGGCCACGCAAATCAAGCTGAGAGTTGGAGTTTTATCGAACTTATCCCAGGTTAGTTGCTACAGTTACTATTTGTTATTATAGAGTAGGTTTCGGTCAAACTGTTGAGAACAAGGGCATTAAATTAGTTCAAGGGGCATATTATTCAAACTGTGAGAATTTAACCAACGATCCCAATAAAAATAGTAACGACCATGATTGGATGGAGATTGTCATGGGTTCTCTAAAGTTCAACCTATCATCCGATTTTGTAGATAAGCTAGAATTACAATCTACAGAAGATTTATATTATGAGTGCGCTAATGCACACAATCTATTTCCTAACGACGAGACAGATTGCAAGAGTGAGGGTTTAGTCTCTGAAACAAGTTCAGAAAATGATGTTCGAACCACCCTGCTCGAAAAGGATCACCAATCATCTGAAGAGCAGGAACACCTGCCGCAGAACATCACGAAAGATACGCCTGCCTACGATTTACTACGTAAGCATGGGTGTGGCGTCATTGCTGATAAACTAGAAGAGTTTGCTGATACCTTCCGGAAGCAGCTTTCGGACATCGGCCTAGCTAACCCTTATGTATTGCACCTCAAGGCGCTTAGAGACGAGTAATATTTGTTTTTAATGTATTATAGCATGATGTGCGATTTCCTATGTCGCTTATTGTATGGCACGCCTATATTTTGGCTTATCTGCCAATGTTTTTGGATTTAACTATCTTTCTGCTTAGGTTGGAACCCTAACTTCGTGAGTGCCTGTGTTATCTGATTCCATACCTCTTCCTTGGTGCCTGATGCATCTAAAACTGTACATTTGCCAGCCATCATCATGCAATACATGATGGGTATCGTATCGTCGAAGAAAACCTTCATTCTATTATCTATGGCTACAGATGCATTATCGGTACGCTCACACTCGTTTGCTCGTCCTAGTATTCTCTGACGGCATACTTCTATAGGGCAATTTAATGCCAACATGTGTATTAACTCAGTACGTTCGGATAGTCTCTCTGCCCACCCTTTTACATTATCGGCATTTCTCGGGAATCCGTCAACAATAACGACATCGCGCCCCCAACCTAACGACTCGATCTTTTTGATGAGCAGTTCGATTGTGACCTCCACGGGTATCACCTTTCCCGCATCGATGTAGCTGCGAATTAATTGTTGATTCTTTGAATTAGGATTTGACATTTCTTCCCTCAGACATTCACCGGCAGATACGTGCTTGAATCCGTAGTTCATAACCATTCTCTGAGACATTGTGCTCTTTCCGGACCCCGGGGGGCCGGCTATGGTTATCTGCAGAACATGATCGTTATCCACACACAGACTCACAATCTTCTGCCTAAGTGACATCTGGCGGGTAAAAATAAATCCGGGTGATAACGTCTCTGAGATGCCAGGTGTTTCCTGGACGGTTGATCAACCGAGACGTAGATATGTTGTCAAAGAGCCCTCGCTGGCATGGTATGTATCCCCGCGCGGCCCTTATGGGGACCGATCATGGTTTGGAATGTGACACATGAAGGGAATATGGCTCTGTTTATCGCATGTAACTTCGATTTAGCTCATTAGAACCCTGAAAAAGGTGAACGGAACATCTGGACACATTTTTCCAGGACCAACCGGTGTGCGTGCTGCGGCAGCTAGGCCAGGACCGTGAGACAGAATACCGAGTATCCTTGGCGTATGCCATGAGCAACACAGAATGTAGCGCGGAAAGCCGCGTTCGATCTGATGAGGTAAATTTAGATCACACCTCTTCAATATTGACAGGATGTGTGCAACCATGTCAAGGTAACATACGACCAATGTTTCGACTCATGGTTGAAAAATTATTTCCTCAAAGGTGGGATGGAAGACAAATGTAGGAAGGAGCTATTGGCCTACAGAGCCTGTTTGAAGGTGTGAGGATGTCAATGCAAATCCACAAACTCATTGCAGCAACATTTTTTAAGCCGTGGAGAGAAAGAAGTTGTACGTTGTATAGAAGAATATGAGCGACGATGACTAACGACATCAAAATAGATTTGGCAATCATTCATCGCTATAATAGCATGCTTGAATCATGGGAGAGAATACAATCCAAAGTTGATACTAACCTCAGGGCCATGGTAATAATTCTCGATAAGTTTCTCCTTTTCACAGGCGCCGACCAAGGCTCCTGTGAATCGGACGAGACCACGGTCGACAGGATTTTAAATAGCCATGCTAAAGGTTTTACTGCGCAGAAGTTTCAAGACGTGAGCTACGATGAAGCGATTGGCCTATTGGCAGGGGCGAAAAGGGCCCATAATATTGACGTCAATAGCGTCTCTCCATTAACTGCGAACCTTGAGGTGAACCTGCCTGGCGCGATTTCTTTGTTTTTACAACGGCAAAGTGACAAGTTATATCAGATGATATCTGAGGTACGTTCTGAGTGTGAGTCTTTTAGAGACGGGACACTTCCAAGAATGGAATCCATTTGCGACGTGGCAGTAGCACACATCAACCGCAACAGCGTCTCAATAGAAGAGAAATGTGACAATACCCCCATATTCTGTTCTATTTGTGACACCTTCCAAAGTATCACCTCCGAGATCGACGCCTTATTAGGGTTAATGGCTTCTGTGAATCCGTACCCTGAAGGTCAGGAAAATATTCATGCTCATATTGAGCAAATAAGTTCCTTTAAATTATGTCGACTTAAGGAGTTTAACAATGTTTTGTCTGACTCAACGTAGAACACAACCTTGACTCAGCGTGGAACGCGAGCAGCATTTGTCGCCCGATTCCATTGCAGCCTGGCATATAACAGCTAGTTGTAAATTTTGAAAAATTTAACGTAATAGTCTAGAAAAATTTTACTAATTGTGGTATATAGCTTAACATTCTTTAAGGCCTACAAGCAAGATGGATCTCGACGGGCATCCCGCCGAGGTCGATACCGACCTATATTCTCGACAGATTGGCACTTTTGGAATAGAGATGATGGGGAAATTGCAAAAGCTGAAAGTGTTGATCATTGGAATGAAAGGCGCCGGTGCAGAAATCGGTGAGTGGATTCTTAGACGCATATATGTATAATGCAGCTAAAAATTTAGCACTCATGGGCGTAGAGGCTATATGTCTGGCGGACGATGATACAGTTGAGCGTCGGAATCTCGGAGTCAACTTTTTCATACGTTCAGCAGATGTGGGAGTCAAATGCGTAAGTGAGGCCTGCCTACCACAGTTGCAGGAACTCAATGGAAATGTAAATATTACCATACATAGAGGTCCCATCACCGAGGTGAGTATAACATCCATTGTATTGATATAGATGTGATACAGGCACTTGTCACAAGACATGATGTTGCGATCTGCTGTGACCAGACCTTTGAAATGATAAACAATGTCAGCCGTGTTTGCCGTAAAAATCAATTGAATAAACGTGTCGGATTTATTGCTGCTGATACGTTTGGGATGGTTGCGGCTGTATTCGTAGACTTCGGTCACGGATTTGTCTGTGTCGACCCATCCGGTAAAGATATCACCACGGCTATAGTCTCCGGGATATCCAATGTAAGTAACATGTATAATGGGTATATGTAATAATAGGAAGAGAAAGGTGTAGTATATATCCACGCTGAAGGTAGCATGCCATTCCAGACCGGTGATGTGGTAACATTTTCAGAGGTCCAAGGGATGGAGGAACTCAATTCCATGGATCCTATTGAAATAACAGTAAAAGATAAGGAATCATTTACAATCTGTGATACCAGGAAATTCAAACCATACACCACAGGCGGAATAGTCAAGGAAATACGTAGACCTAAGACTATCGACTTTATCAGCTTCGAAGAGGCAGTAGAAAATCCATCAACCACAAATTGCATGATGACCATGGACTACAGCCTTATCGGAAGAGCGGAAAGTATACTATTGATTAGTATGGCTTATCGCACTTGTGGCCAGGATTCTAACTCGGTCCTGGTAACTGCTAATAACCTCAATTCCAAAGCACGATCATGCGCTGTTGATCAAATTGACGAAAAGGTGCTGTGCAGTTTCGTCAAACATGCCCATCTTAAAATATCGCCACTTTGTTCCTTTGTAGGTGGTGTTGTTGCCCATGAAGTTATCAAGTTCACCGGAAAATACCACCCTATTAACCAGTGGCTATACTGCGACTTCACATTACCCACGGAAATAACGTCAGGGAATAATAGCGATGTTGGATTCGATTCGAGGTACAGTGACCATATTGCTGTTTGGGGACGAGAAGTACAAAGCAAGATACAAAGTGCAAAGATCTTTACGGTATGTTTATTAATTAAATAATGCTATTGACTTTTAGGTTGGAGCTGGTGCTCTTGGATGTGAATTGATGAAACATTTCGCACTACTCGGATGTGGTACCCAAAATGGAGGTTTAATCACTCTGACTGATAACGACCATATCGAAGTGTCTAACATCAGTAGGCAATTTTTGTTTAGGAAGGTATGTTTTTTTGTTAAAGTTAAAGTTCACTGATTCATAGAAACATGTCGGAATGTCTAAATCAAAGGTTGCTGCAATGGCTGCTAAAGAAGTCAATGAACATATGAAAATAGATGCATTGGAGATTTGTGTCGGACCGGAGAGTGAGGACTACTTTACAGATGAATTTTGGGACGAACTGACTGTTGTGGTGAACGCTTTGGACAATGTAAAGGCTCGTATGTATATAGATGGCCGATGTGTATGGTATGAGAAGCCGCTTTTAGAATCGGGTACATTGGGCACTATGGGCAACGTACAAGTCATCATCCCACATATGACACAGTGTTATAGTGAGAGTCAAGACCCGCAAGAAACGTCAATACCGTTGTGTACACTCAAACATTTCCCATATCAGGTTGATCATACAATCCAATGGGCAAGGGACCTTTTTGAGGGTCTATTCACACAGCTTGCGCATGATCTGAAGAAGCTCCAGGAGGCGTCACATGGTAAGTTTCAGCAAATGGCCAACTTTGATAATTGACTTTAAATAGATGCGGACGATATATCGGATGACAAGATAAAATTGATTTCACAGCTTTTAAAAATTAATCCCAATAATGCCAAGACGGAGTTGCTGCGTATATCTTCAGAGCTCATCAACAGGTATTTCATCAACGACATCAAGCAGCTGTTGTATTCTTTCCCTAAAGATCACAAGACATCAGATGGTCAAAGGTTCTGGAGCCCACCAAAAAGGATGCCAAAACCATTAATATTCGACCCTAGTAGTAGATATGTCAGCATGTTCCTGGTAGCCACCTGTAACATATTGGCTGAGGTGATAGTAGGTTACCAGTGTGATTGTATACATTTTTTGCAGGGTTTAAAGTTACGTTTTGATAACAAGGACGTGGAATGTTTGCCGCCATTGCGGTTTGAGGAATTCAAACCCACTATTTTAAGGCTATCTAAGGATAACGTGAATGTTGAAATTGAAAAACCCGCTGGTGCTGACAAACAACGATTCCAGTTAATTGACGATATCAGTAAAAGCAAAGTTCAATTTAACTCTATAGACTTTGAAAAGGATGACGACGCAAACTTCCACATCGAATTTATATGGGCCACTGCTAACATGCGATGTGAGAACTATGATATCGAACAATGTGATCGAATGAAGGCGAAATTGATATCAGGTAGAATTATACCTGCTATCGCTACAACGACCTCAATGATCGTTGGATTGGTGATGCTTGAGTTTGTGAAAACGATATGTTACAAGAAATTAAAAATGGATCATTTCAGGAACTCGTTTTGCTGCCTGGCAACACCAGTATGGTTACAATCAGAGCCTTTACCACCCACTCCGACAACTGATAAGGAGTATGATCCTGTAGTAGGCGGTCGTGTTCGAGCTTTACCACCTAACTTTACTGTATGGGACAAAGTACGACTGAATATACCAAACGGTACGGTGAACAATATTCTTCAGGCTATTCGTGATACTTTTAATGTCGAGGCTATCATTATCAGTGCGGGTAATACGTGCATATACAATTCCTATATGCCCGCACACAACCGCGAGCGTCGTACTCAACGAATTACCGAAGTAAGTCGTACACATTGGTCGTAATAATAGTGCAGCTTTTGGAAAAGCTTACGAAAAAACCTCTTATGCCATCATGCTCGTATCTGGTTATAGAAGCCAGCTGTACTGATGACGACGATACTGATGTGGTCATCCCTACGATAAAATTCGGGTTCAAGTAGTCTTAACTAGATCGTAATATTATACATAATGCCCATTGTATACGATGGATTACTATAGCATGCTATTGAGCCATGAATTTTTACCGGAGAATACCACAGAATACCTCGTAGATGCTAACCCAGAGTTCCGTAAAAGGGCACGTAACGCCATATCGCAGGCCGTAAGAAAGTTCATAAGTGATACTCAAGACAGCGAAGATGTTGATGAACGTTGTGGTGAAGCCGTGCAACGGTTCGTCAACATCATGCGTACGCAATATATGGATAACGCAATTCCGGACTATCGAATAGGAGGACTTATAGGTATTGCCTCAGCCGCCATAGCCCTTGATGTAGGTGACAAAAGTTACATGTATGTTATTTTAATCAGGATCACCTCGATGACCACGCTGATGCGTTAATCAGACTAGTACTTCCATATTTTACAGACCAGGATCCTAGTGTAAGATACTATGCTTGTGAGGTAAAATAAAAGAAAGGGTATCCACCATTGCTTTCAGTCATTATATAATATCGCAAAAAAGGCTCATGATGGCGTTGTTAGATGTTTCAGTGATATCTTCGACGGTATTTGTAAAGTAAGCAAATAACACACTTTTGCTTTAACACTATTTATACAGCTCTCCTGCGACGAAGACGAGGATGTTAGACAAAGTTCACAGTTCATGAACCGACTAATGCGTGAAATTATACTAAATGACAAGTACAAGGCAGTTGATTTGGTTGTCGAACTTATCGCAAGCCGCATGTATGTGACAAACTCATACGTCCGCATATTATTAGTATGTCTCACAATCATCCAGCATGTCATTACACTCAGATATCATGGATTACTGCACTCAATGCGTTACCATGTAAGTTTACATTTGGTAATAATCACAAGAAACAGATGTCAATATGCTCGAACATGTTCCCAAAGTATACCTCGGACTCTTCAATATGCTAGTAGACAACAACAAGTTAGTTGTGAAGGACAAAAGTGATAGTTTTTTAGGGATGTGAGAGGGGCAGCGGAACTCTGCCTTGCTGAGTTCCTGGCACTTTTCAAGAAGACGTTTGCGACAAAGACCGAAATAATAAGTGACGAGTTTTTCAATGTCATACTCATCAATATGACTCGCAACGAATATGTTATCAAAAGGATGAATATTGTATGGGTACGAGAACTTGCCTGCTTGCAGCCGCATGTCATTTATTTTGTATGTTTTCACACTCATAGATTATATACATCACAATGTAGAACGGATTTCATCTATTACTCAAATCGGTAATAGTATCCATAGCCGATCAAAACGGAGGTGGGTCAAGACTAAGTGGATTCCATATCAGACCAGATGTCAGTACTTGCGCACAAGAGGCAAACAAGCAGCTTTTTCTCATGACAAAAGAACGAAAAACCATCACCAATGTCGAAAATATTACAAAAGAATTAGTCACAATATTAAACTGCCATGTTAACCACGTTGTTATGCTGACAGCATTACAGTGGCTGATCCTGCTGCTGGAACTCAAGTGAGTTTCAAAACAAGATTACAACAATATAAATTCAGGCCTAAAGTCATGAAGGATACCGTACCAGTAGTGACCAAAGCTGTAGTATCATGCTTTAAGCAATGCGACTCCGAGGTAAATTTAACATCACCAACCTTTTCATGTATCATAGCTCATTATGGAAGCGACAATAAAAGCAATAATTCTAGTATTAGAATTGGGCACTGAACATTTCGACCTGGTATCGCAACAATTATTGGAGCTTTTTAAGACTGATGATGCATTGCTGGTGCGTACCAACAAATAGTAGTCATATAAGCTCTAGGAGGACAGAGGGAACCGTATCATCATCAATGTGTGCAAAAACATCGGGTTCGAAAATTTCTATAGCATCACAGCAAGTTGTCTTGCAAAGGAAAATGTAGGTTCATGACACATGCAACCAATAAGGAAGTAGGATCACAACTTCCTACAACGTATCGTCCACACACTCAACTGGACACTACTGACATCAGAAGTAAGTTGGCAAATGCTAATCTAATAAGGTTTAAGGACGCCAGGGAAATGAGAGCGTTCCTACTTACCGAGAATGGTGATAATCTGGGGACGCAACTACAGATGTGTTGGTTAGTAAAAAGCATAGGTGTCTAATGATGTATAGGGATCATAATCTTGCGGCAGCATTGGCCCTAGCACTATGGCGCGAAAAATATGAATTTGCTAACAATATTGTGCAACGAATGTAAGGCTGCTTGTATATTTTTAAAATTATGTTTATAGAGCGGATTCGAATTTTGGTATCGAATTTTGGCTATGGATAGACAGTATCGTGCAATTGTTAGATTCTCACGTTTTTATGAAAATGAGATTGCATCTACTACAACCAACTCGTTACCGCGAACTTCTACAAGCTCTGCTTGGTATGTTATGTCCATTCGACGCTTACCATAAACAGGACTCTCTATGATACTGCCTCAAAGCGAAACGAATAAGCAGCTCATGCGACGGCTTAGCATATCGCAGTTTACACAAATAGAGGAACAGTTAATCATGATGATGAACATAAGACGATAAATTAATCATTTACCATTACGCTTCTCACACAAACGATAGCCAGATATACAATTCTCAATAGCCACTGAAGAAAAACCAAAACATTGGTGTAGCTCCGCCATTGAAAGGAACCATGGAGGTGCGCCACATGGCCCAAACTGGTGAACCATCGATTTCCCTAGGAAACAGGTATTACCAATACGCGTAACAATGCTTCGCAGGATGAAACGTAGCCCTAATGGCGGATATGCCATAGGCCTTGTAAATAGTAATGGAAAAAGCCAAGTAAACAACAGAACCCATCGAACATATATGAATACGAGGAAGAAACATAGTACATCTCGAATTCTGCATTGTACTGAAATGACTAAATCGGGTGAAGTTAACTCTATATCATCTATCAAATATAACTGATTTTGCATATGAGGCTGGTTTATGTGATCCTCTGTAGGGATACAATACTCAACCGCCTTGCCAGAAACAACTGCAGCATGACACATTATCCATTTAGTGGGCAACGGATATGAGCATGTTGATGAGTTTAATATTCGTGTATGAGCATGACTTCGGTCCATAAAGCAGATTTGGATCCCAGCAGCCGACGAATGTTGCGATCTATCATGTTGCGACAGCAGAAGTCCCGAATCTTCGATTTCCAAAAAATAGACACCTTTGTACTCTAATATAGAATTGTCTGTAATTTCGAATTCACGTGATAAATCGAAATAGTTGGGGGCTTGAAACGACAATGTTTTGTACTCTGTCACGTTTCTAACCTGTCTGCGACGGCAGTTGCCATAGGTGTTCAGGAAATGGAGTCGAATGATTCCACGCCAATCATATACAGTAAATATCCTGACACCATTGGCGAATAAGTTAGCTGCGTTGGTCAATAAGTCGCGTTCTATGCTGTCCACCGAGTTAAAACGCAAAAAGTCATCGCTAAGCAGGGATACCACGTGATACAATTTTTGACCATCAGCTACTGATGGTGATGAAAAGCCCATAGTAACCCTAATAGCCTTAATGATTCCAGTTCACGCCGTGGAGAGCGCTCCCCCGGAAAGGGGAGAATTATAGAGACTGACCGGGTGCTGCAGCGCTGCGAGGAAAAAATTTGCAGCACTACAGCAGCGCAGAAATTTTGACAATAATATAATAATGTAGCTTGACCAAATTTTCACGACGTTTCGTAGCAAAAAAATTCCAAATAACATAGATTACGATGACATCGCGCAACAGTCACACGGAGCCCAAAAGAGCCGACACACATAACGTTAAAACTAACACACTACACTAAAGTGTTGTGAAAATAGGATACAGCAGCATAGCAGCCTTATGGGTGTAGCTATATGACATAACCATAACCTAGGGTCTGCCTGATCGCACGACGACCGTGGTGGAACTTAGAGAGAACTACAGTAACATATCGGTGACTCTATATTGACGATAAATCTTGCAAATGAGATGATAATGGCACTTTCCGTTGGCATATAATGCCCTCAGAAGGCGTTTAGACTGTTTTAGCCGAGGTGCTCTGTTCGACACGATTACCCAGAACCGCGATGTTATGTCTACAGGTGACTGCAACTACTGTCGAATAGTAGACCAACGGTAGTAACTAATGAAGTACTATTTCTTCGCAAACTTTTGTTAGTTCCCGAGAATGCCATCTGCCACTTTCCGGAAAATATGACACCCACCTCAAGATGGTGTGGCGTGTACAGACTCGAGGCAACGAGTTCTTAATGAGCCAACGCACACAGATAGAAATAATGGCTCTCATGACGATGTATAACTTTCGGCAATATCGCTGAAATACAATGAAGTTCTGCGATTCTAACTAACGGTTGGCGAGATGCCACTGGACACTGTTGAAACTTGCAGCCCCCTTTTCCAGAAGCAAGCAGCCACACAATGGAACTCTATCACTAACTATTTATCCGCAAATCAATCTACCAAAAATCTCAAAGCGATTACTTTGATATTATATCATTGTTACAACATTTTCAATATCGAGAACAACGATACACCTTGAAAAATGGCGATACTGATGGACCTACTCGGCGAGGACGAAAACTGGGATGATACCAGAAGGATTGATCGGTGGGCTCCTTTGGCCACGGATCTGCCAAATGTTCATAGGGTAACACCAGCACAAAAATTGATGATAGTACTGTTGATCAGACTTCAGAGTGTAAATGAGGTCTGGGCAGCGTACGGGAACAATTTCGCTGTCCATTACAGGAATCTGTTGTATGAAAACAGGGGAAACCGTCGTCATGCGTACATTGCCATTTTCATACGATTGGCTGCATTTTACAAACTGCACGTCACAGCAACCATTACAGACGCGCATTTAATGAGCTTGCCAGATGAATTACTCACAAGAATAATTCATGAACCGTTTGAACAGTTGGAGAGGCTAAGAAGTCAAAAAGAAACGGGTTATATACCAATGCAAGAATACGATATAACGCTTGGATTCAATATTGAAAAAGTAGCACAATTGGGTAACTACATAAGAAAAGTCTGCTTGATATTATGCTATTTCAGACAGGCCGTTGACAATGAAATACCGATGAGGATTATAAGGAGTATGGATGATACGAACGGAAATAAACACATCACATGGTGAAAGGCAGAGTGCAATGTTTACACTTTATCAAGTGTATAAATCAACGGAAAAAATGCTAGGATTTTCATAGAAAAACGATGTATCGGGGCGTAGTAGAAGAAAAAAAATCTATAGAGATCGATTTATCTCCAACCAATAATCCGGGCTTGAACGACCAACGAAGCTATAAGACGAACGCCAGCCGATAGTCATATGAAGGAAGTATCCGTAAGTTTATACTGATAAATAATTGTCATGTATGAAATGCAGAGATATGATCCTATGAAATACCTAGATAACTGCTATAGTGAATTTTGGAAACGAGATATATAAGGTAACAAGATAACAATAAACAACTATCATGTAACAAGAAATAATATTCACTAATAGCACATATATTTCATGAAATATTAAGTGACCGGGTTAACGTATGCGGTTTGACATATTGGGTCGAGCCACCTGCTAGTTCGGAATAACCCGTGAATAACCCGACTGTCTTCCATTGTCGTTAAAACTGACCATTTAGTGCTATGTGTACGGGTTCAAGTTATCTAGGTTACTTATATGCCATGCCCACCGTAGGGCTTATTGTATTATGAACGCTAGGCTATTCGTGCCTTCTTTTGTGACCCATATTATCGCTACATCATTAAGACGGTCATATAACAGCTCCAGAATGCAAGGTACTAACTTAACAACAATGGTAGATCCCAGCAAAGGGCCTTCGGCCTACACATTCATCGATATAGGAGCTAACCTTGTAGACGAAATGTACAAGGGACTTTATAACGGAAAGCCAAGGCATATTCCAGACCTCCCGAAGTAAGCTATTCATCTTAGATATCTCTCTTGTATTTACGTTGCTACAGAGTGATAGAACGGGCCCAAAACATAGGAGTCAAGAAAATGGTACTTACGGCCGGGACCCTAGGGGAGGTACACGAAGCTCTGGATATATGTAAGGAATACGGTACGTTCTCATACAGAATTAGAACAATAATTTGTCAAGATAAAGCCGGTATAGCTTTGTATACAACGGCAGGTGTCCATCCGACCATGTGCAACGAGTTCATCAATAACAAATTTAACAAGACACCTCAACAATATATAGAGGCTCTAGACGAACTCATCACGACAAATAAAGATCGTATTGTAGCTATAGGTGAACTGGGTCTCGATTATGATCGGCTACCTTGGTGTGATAAGGAGATACAGAAAAAGTAGGTCAACAACAACTTTGATGTAATATATGTCTAGATATTTCGAAATGCAACTCGATCTTGCTGCTAAACACAAACTACCTCTATTTTTGCATATGAGAAATGCTACAGATGATACTATGGGTAGGTTGCTGAATGCACAAATTTGAACAAAAACATTCCCCGAAAATAGTTCATCGCATATATACCCTATCATATATTGATGCAGATATACTGATACGTAACAAAGAAAAATGGATAGAAGGAGGGGCTGTGTGCCATAGCTTCACTAGCGATGAAGCATCATTGCAGAGAGTCATTGATTTGGGGATTTATGTAGGTATCAACGGTTGTTCTTTGAAAACAACCGAAAATTTGGGTGTACTCAAAAAGGTACCACTCGACAAAATCATGCTAGAAACAGGTTAGTAAAAAGGATAAGGACACAACACACTCAGACTGCCCATGGTGTGGTATTAAACCAACACATGCCAGTATCCAATATGTGAAAACTACGTTCCCGGTAGTAAAGAAAGCAGAAAGAATGACGGGTGATACAATATTTAACCAACGATCGGAACCGTGTCTTATCATGTAGGTAGCGGCTATAAAAAATTAACATCAACGTGTAGACAAGTCGCAGAGGTTGTGCATCAGATAGTTGCGCCAGATATGGATTTTACACAATTTTGCGATACGTAAGTTGGCATTTAAATGCTCACAATAGTACACAGAATCTACAATAACACGGTGGCGCTTTTTAAAGGAATCGCATAGAATTAACCAGCTAGCCAATTTGGGAACAACTGTAGTGCCGATATATAAATTTTAATCGCCACCTGTTATACTTTTTTAACCCTTAAAATTTTTTAAATAAATGGAACACACTGTCAGTTTGACAGAACGCAAGACAGCAGTGTAGTGGCGACGGTGTGCCACTGTGGTAAATGCGATGTTGCACTCGCGCCATGTGTAACACATTACATTTTAAATCTACATGGTAGCATGCCACAACAAAAAACATGAATGTGTGAACTTTTATTATACAGGATAGATCACCTTCATTGACTCAAGCCCTCTCAAAAAATGGCGAAAACA